AGCACTATGGCCTGTATCTGAATCCAGAGTTGACTATTAGTTAATAACTTACACTCATAACTATTAGGTGTTAATTCAGATTGCTTTACTAAAATATTTCTATAACAATTGTACTTTGAGTAGTTTCCCCAAATCTCAACACCAAATGTCAAGTAGGGCAGAACAAGCGAACGTTATAGTCCTAGAAATATTTGCCCTGAGTGTCTGCACACACTGGGTTATAAATGTGGATGAATGGTTCCTTTATGTAAAGCTGAATACCTGGAAAGATAGTGCTATATAAATCTTATCACTTACCCTTTACCAGACCACATGAGGTAGATTTTTTTCCCAATCCAATCCAAGATAAGTATAGGCCTGACTATGTGTTTGTCTCAATTGACTAAATTCATGTGAAGCATCTTTGATTGTCCTGAAAAGCGCTGTATAAAACGATGCATTCTTATTTAATATTTCAAACAGAGTCTCACCTGATGAATTGATCCACATGAGCCAACTCCAGCTCTCCCCACACCTGTTCACTCGCTACTAGAGAGAAGCAAGGGCTGAATGTTTGCAGATGATCCCAACAGAATTACTCATCACAGTTGTTCTTTTGTCTCAGCTGCTTCATTACTTGCACCTGACTATATTCTTTCAATTTAGAGAGAAAATGTTTACTCAATGCCAAATCTTTTCCACCCACTAACAGGTGTCAACATAATACTCAGTTGTCACAGAAATCAGATGCACAAAGACATTGTTGTCGTGTGAATTCAGATTTTTCTAAACATTTTCAATAATTATCATTTGTGCAGAGAAACACAAATAGGTGAAGGCTTCATCATTAATGCATGCCGATGTTCAAACAGCCCCCCTCCAGAGGCACAGAGGCAGCCTCCGGCATTTGTTCTCAAAGACAACTCTATGAACTTGTGGCAGAAAACGAATCAAACCAGGAAATGAGGCTACACGTTTATCCTGCTTGTTTATTTTTTGGCAGTGCTTTACCTAGAACAAAACGTTTTGGTTTATAAAGCATCCACAGAGGTGAATTCCGTAAGCACCTTGCATCTGATTGTGTAAGTTGGTGCTGTGTTGTGCAAAATGTCTGGCCTAAGTTTTGATGCTTAAAAATGCAGTCAGTGATTTTTTCCAGATGCAATTTATTTAAATATTGTGGGAAAACGTCCCTAAACCCTAAAAGTAGTCAAGTTATCATGTGTTTTCAATTCGTAATGGAATTCACCAGATGCCTTTAGTCTAGTATTAAGATGGAAGCAGGCAAGATTTAGTAAGAGTTTTGTCCCTTCAATTATAGCAGCTCTTAACAGTCTGTAATTAGGCCCGAGCCCCGAACGGGGAAAGGGCCTATTGTTTTTGCTCGGGAGATGTCAAATTCTGCACTTTCAGCCTTAATTTGACCCCCTGAACATGCATGAAAAGTTGTAAAATTTTGCCCAAACATCAGACCTGGTGAAGAATTTGATATTTGGGTGTTTATTTTTATGGGACACAAAAAATGCCAGAACAGCGCCACCTACAACAGCCAATGGGAGTTTCAGAGGTCAAGTTTGTCGTAGAGCCATGAAATTTGGTACACATGTTCCTCAAGTCAAGATACGACCAAAATGTTATCATGGCTCCGCCCTCTGACAAACAGGAGGCCCATAAATTTCACTGCAAAATGGATAAATGATCCGCAATCATTTTCATACATGTCGGTTGGAAAGCGACTCCTCCTCGCCGTTTCACCGATTTGCCTCAATTGCTCCACATCATCTCAACACATGTACCTTCAAAATGACCAAAGGGATTTTTGATCAGTGAAAAGTTGTTTGAGCAGCGGAGCGGGAAAATGTGAGTGTTTTTTGGCCGTTTTTGACAACATTAATTTTGCTCTCGTTTGCACAAACAAAGTCTGATTTGCACAAAACTTGAATCCAATGTTCAACTCCAGGGTTTAGGTCAGGTGAAAGTGAAATATTTGAAATTGGCCCATTAGCGCTCCCTACAGATTGAGGCAAAGTTTTACATGGGGTGCCAAACAGCTCTAATCATCATATTCATTACAATTTGACTAACAATCTTCTATGGCTACAGCAACAAATCATCACACGGCGGCCCCACCTCCTTTGCGCGGTGCTGCGTGGTACGGTGTGGTGCGGCGTAGTGTGGGGCGGCATGGTGCAGATCCGCTTGGTGCGGGGCGGCGTGGTGCGGGGCGGCTTGATGTGGGGCGACTTAATGCAGGACGGCTTGCTGCGGAGCGGCTTGATGCGGGGCGGCTTGGTGCGGGGTGGTGCACGCAGTGCGGGGTGGTGCGCGCGGTGCGGGGTGGTGCGCGCGGTGCGGCGAGGGCCCTTTGACGCCGCTTGCGGCTTTAATTTTGCCCTTGTTCCTGTGTTGTATGTGTTTCTCTCTCCTGTGTTTCCTGTGTCTATTGTAACCTGTATGTGACAGTGTTTGTGAAAATGAATTTCCCTCAGGGGACAATAAAGGTCTATCTATCTACAAAAATTAATAAAACATATTTTAAGACCGATAAAAATTAACCATTGGGATTTGTTCATCCCCAAGAACCAATGGGATGCGTTTACCCCCTTCACCCTCTTCCTGTTTCTCGCGAGTGCGTGCACCTGAGTTATCAGATTTTCTAAAACCTAAAAGGGCTGAACAGAAAATTCCAATTTCACGTTTGCCACCCACTCTCCCTGTTGTGACAAAGAAAAGAAAATGCTGGATGTTTGGTTTGGTGGAGAGGCGAGGGGGGAGGGGTTTCGAGTTGGTGCTACGGCTAAGCTAACAAAATTGCTATCTGCATCTTTAACATTTAAAAGAGTATGATACCCAAGGTCAGAGGCCTGTGAGCAGGGGCAGATCCTCCACAGTCACAATCACAAAGTCATAGCACAAATATAAAGTCCATATGCTAATATTTTGCTTATTTATACAAATCTGGCCAAGATAATGATTCACATTAGTTACCAAAAATGGCAAAATTGAACATAAAGTGGTTGGAAAGGGAAAAGCACAAATACTGACTCTAACAGTTAGTCAATTAGTCCAGAGATAGAGCAGAGCCCAGAAAGCAGCAGATGAAAGCCAAGTTGAAATATTCTCTTTTCCCTGTGTTTTGTTCCTTGTTAGTGAGCTAGATGTCATTACCCAGCATCCCCTGCACCCTGTCAGGCCGTCAGCGTCTGGGGGAGAGCTGAAATTAGAGCTCAAAGACATCTTTAGCCCAGCTTTGACTTCACTGACATAGATGCAGACCTCTGGTTATTCAAACACAGTCCCCAATCATTCACCACATGCCCTAACCGACAAAATAATTAAATAACTATACATACTGTATATACTTACTCCATATATACAATACTCTATACAGGAAAAAGTAACTCATACACAATGTACAGTAAGATAATTGATGCTCTAAAGGAGTGGAGTGTTTAACAAGCCACTGTTTCTATGGGCGACAGTAGCTCAGTTGGTAGAGCATTGGCCTTAAGGCCAGAAGGTTGTGGGTTCAATTCCCACCTCTACACCTTCTCCACCGACTCCCACTGATGACTGCTGTCGTTGTGTCCTTGGGCAAGACACTTAACCCCACTTTGCCCAAAGCCCCCACTGAAAGATCAAGGCTATGCTCACACTCAGAGAGCAGCCGTCCTCCTGTGGACTCACCACCTGCAGAGGGTCAGTGAGGGGCTGGTGCTATGAGACTTGGGTGGCATCTCTGACTGCCACCCCCCTGACCCAGAAATGGATTAAAGGGAAGAAAATGGATGGATGGATGGATGTTTCTATGGTGTGCATGCTCTCTCTCCTCTAACTGGAAGAAATCTGTTTATTTGTTTGTTGGTGAATCTTTCCTCTGAGATGACTGCTGCTGTGATTTAGGGCTTTACAAATATAAATTGAATTGAATTGATTTGAAATGTTTTAACGACTATAGTTGGTAATCAAAACACCAAACAATTAGTAGTATTATTTAAACAGTGACGATGGCTATGTCTTGAAACTGTCTGTGATAGAAACGTTTCAAATCGTAGATAAAAAAACACGCTGGGGTGACAGTGGCTCGGTCGGTAGAGCATTGGTCTTTGGATCTAATACTCGTGGGTTAGATCCCCATGACATCTGCTCCCATTGATGACTGCTGTCGTTGTGTTCATGGGCAAGACACTTAACCCCACTTTGCCTGAAACACCAAGGTAATGTCTTCGTTGAAAGAGCAGCCATCTTCCTGTGGAACCAATACCTGCAGGTGAATCAGCGAGAGACTGGTGCATTGTGAATTGGGTGGCATCTCTGATTGCTACCCCCCCTGACCCAGATATGGATAATATGGATAAATAAAGGGATGAAAATGAATGAATAATTGATACACTTTGAATTGATTTGAAATGTTTTTTGCAAAAGCACCAAACAATTAGTAGTATTATTGAAACAGTGGCCCTGGTTATGTCTTTGAACTGTCTGCGATGGATTCGTTTTAACTCCTCAGAAAATAAGCTTACAGAAATGTTATGTTGAAAAACTGAGCGAAACCAACAGAACGCAGCTTCAAAGTGTTGCACATACACAGCCACGCAGCAGCCTCCGCCTGCACTGATTGCTCAAAGCGCCATTTGATTATCTTGACTTTGTCCTTGCCTTTGTGCCTCTCCATTCACTCATTGCTTTGAGATGGATGTTGTTTCTGTGTGTGCTAATGGAGCATCATGTTCGCCATTATGTTATAGCAGTGAGATAAATAATTGATAGGGAATAATGAGGATCTCCACACAGCTCCTGCAGAGTCACCATGGGAGGCATTTTCTACTTCTGATATCATTACCCAGAATTCATCATCCTCATATCTTAATTTACCCTCATGTACATTATTGCGACTCACCCACAGATATGAAGTGAGAGCCTGCTGATGTGTTGAGCTTCCTATTGGGCAAACTGCAAAAGGATTGTGTAGATTGCTATAAAAGAAATGTTTGATAATAGTTTCCTTCTTGTTCCCGTAGCGATCATCAGATGGACTGTCAATCCCGCTCTGTGCTTTCCAGGGCACAGTCTCCCTCCAGGCCCCAACGGGAAAAACACTCTCACTGTCCACCTACGAAGTCAGCAGTGACATGCTCCGGATATCCCCCAACAATGGCAAAAAAGTAAGGTGCCTCTTTATGTCACTTATTGAAACATGGAGAACGCAAGAGCTAATTCTTCATGGAAATGTAAAAAATGCATATGAAGAGTGAATTTGCAAAAAATGGCTTACAGTTTTACCGTTTTTAAGTAGTTTTTTTGAAAAGCCAGATTTTTTCTTGTGCCATACCAAAAAGCATGTTATCCCGTCTTGAGACGGGGTTCACTTATTTTCTTCAAACACACTTCTCTCAAATAACGAGTAATTTAGTGTGTACACTATGCACCCTAAAAATACATTGGTTGAAAAAACGACTAATTTAATTGGTTAAACTGGTATTGGTTATAGATTATCTTAAATATTTTTCAGAAATGTACCAATCTGTTTGTTTTGTTTCATCCAATGATTGCTAATAGGCCTGCCTTCTTGCAGGCCTATTAGCAATTATTGCTTTCTTGCAATTGACGTCACGTCCGCCTCATTACATATGCATATCAGGAAGTGGTGGTCAGCCGAGCTAGTTGTTCACGAGAGCAGCGTAGCGTGTCTGAATATGCCTTTTGCGTGTGTTGTTTTAAGTTTTCTAACCGATCGAATCGTGAAACCTTTAATGGATACTTTAGGATTCCTTGTGAAGAGATGAATGAAGAGCCTCGCACTGAGGACTTCACGAAAAGACGCAGGAAAAGTGGCTCGCTAACATTTCACTGCAGACGCTTTTACCTGGAAGGATTATTTATTTACCCAGCCATGCAGTCACAATGCACAGTTATTACATCCTCATCTTTATTTCATTCATTGTCAGGTATGAGTCGGCGTTTTAGATAAACACTGTGAATGTTTGACCTGAAAAGAACACAGCCACAGACGCATTGTTTTGTTGAGAATGATAAGTTCATACCAATTCTTACTTACACGGCTCTGTACGATGCAGGAGGTGTCCTTCAGGACCTTAACTCTGAGTTCTTAAACCCACAGACAGACAGAAAAGTTACAGTATCCATGTTTATCCAAACCTTCATGTGTTTAGCAGTGCAAAAGCTTGATTGTATCACTAGCTGTGGATTAGAATCTAAAGTGAAGAAAATGACAGTCTAGGATCTTGTCTTTAATTCAGACAGAAGACATTTTTTATTGTCGATGGCAGAGGCAGCATAAACAAAGACGTTACAGAATGTAAGTGACATACAGCGGAGGAATGGAGACTTATTAGCATTATTAGCATGTTAGCATTTGCCGCGGTGCCAGCAGCTTCAACCTTGATATTACCAAAACATGTAGTGGAAAATTCCTGCCTTGTGCATATTGTTAGAATGATGAGGTAGAATCAATCAATCAAAGTTTATTTGTAGAGCGCCTTTCATACACAGGGCAACACAAAGCGCTTCACAGTCCACATCACAAATCATCACATAAAACAACCACAGTAGCTTCAAAGTGTCATGAAATATCCAAAAAAGCAAAAAAATACTCGGAAGAGTCGTATTTTCTTCATATATCAGCAGCAACTCTTGCTGGCCTGACCACCACTTCGTCAACCGGAAGTTTATGCGTCACTTGATTGCAAGCAAGCAATTGGGAAGATCTTTGTTCCTGGCGCTACCAGCATGTGGAAGCCTGATCCTGTTAGACCTCTGAATCCAAGCAGGGCAGTGCCTCCTTCGTACTGTGATGGGAGACCTGTGGGGACACCAGGTGCCACTGTGGGTGGCACCTTAGGCAAGACACTTCCTGTCCTTAGGCAAGACACTTCACCCACATTGCCACCAGTTGGCGACATAGATTGGTTACGATTGGTTTAACCAAAACATCTATGGGACACATAACAACCAACATTTCATTTTTGAATGTGAAAACCTAAAAATCCATTTCTAGATTGTACTTAAAAAAGTAAAATAGATCAGAAAATGAAAAAAACTAAATTAATATTTTTCTTACACTAAATGTGTTTTGTTGTATATTGGGACAAAGTCTGACATAAGTAGTTTTTATTCATATAGTGCATTTCACTCACTGACACCCCTGATTCTCTGCAGGTTGAAGTGTATCGCTCCAAATCCGTCGGCCATGAGCCAAGTCCTGAAGACCCGATGTCGGGCGGCCATGCGGTGGACGTGAACGTGAGCAATGTGGGCACGAATGTGAAGATCCACCTTGAAGTCCTGGAGATCTGCGACAATGAAGAAGCTCTGGACAGTGTGTCCATCATCTCCAACATCAGCCAGTCCTCCACACACACCCGCTCTCCTTCTCTGCGATATTCAAGGAAAGAAAACCGCTTTGTGTCCTGTGATCTGGGAGAAACGGCATCCTACTCTCTACTCATCCCCAGCGCGATTAACCCAGAGGCAGAAAGTATCAATATCTCCATACCGGATACTGTGGAGGCACACCGACAGAACAGCAGGCGCCAAATAGAAGAGAGTGTGGGGTACCATGAAGAAATACAGCAGCTGAATGAGGCCTATAGGAAACAGGCTGAGGAAGAAGACCACTGCTGAACAAAAACAAGCCAAAACAATCTACATTCCAATATCAACAGTAATGAATGAGCTATCCTTCAGACTGTTACTTTTGGTCTATCACACTTTCCTTTAAAATAATGCCCTGAGATTCTTGCTCTTGGATTCTCTACTGTACATGAACACCATAATGTATTGAACTATAGAAGTATGTACAATCAGGTCCATTAATATTGGGACATTGATACAAATCTAAATTCATAACTAGCAGGTAAACACAGGTAAACACAGGAAATTACAGTCTCTATGTGTGTCTCCCAGTTTTGATAATTTCAAATTATGCACGACAATTACAGTCTGTGACATCACCAGACATAGTTTCATCCTTAGTGATGCTTTGCATTGCAATGATCTTGCTTGTTCTTGCTTTTTTCATGGAGCATTTTCCCTCCAGCTTCGTCTACGACAAGTGAAATATATTCTCAATGTTGTGTATCTGACTTGACATAACATTCATACTTCCTTGCCATAAATAACTCTTTGGCAGTTTATCGCAATATGCTTTGGGGCAATGGTAATCCACACTGTGAGGGACAGTCAGTATAATGAGTTTTGAAGTTTTGAGGCCATTAAGGCTATATCCACACAAAGACAAAACGCTTATAATTTCAGAAACTTTTTCTGTAAACACGGAGTTAGCTCAGTAAATGTGTGCGTCCATATGAATGTAGTCAATACGCCTGAAAACGCTGTGAAACTATGCCAGACCTGTTGGTGGCGCTGTGACGCAATGACGGGATCAAGCCCAAACTTCCGTGACGGGAACTGGGCATGCGCGGAATTTTGTAAACAGACAACATGGCGAGTGGGCGAGCTGGTACTACATTAGTATGGACGGACGATGAGGTTGAACTGTTGCTTCGGGTCACACTGGATTACAAAACCAACAAGCTACATTGTTGTTGTCATTATTTTCTGAGTGCGGCGCATGCGTGCTTTAACAAGAGGCGGGGCGATGCAGCCTTAGGCCCTGTCCACACGAAGTCAAGCTCAGGCCTAAACGCAAAAATACTTTATCAATCCAGTGTATCGTCCATACGAGGCCGGCGTTTTGGGGGGGGTGCAAAACGAACATTTTTGAAACTAGGTCCCAGAGTGGAAAGATTTCAAAACTCCGTATATGCCGCTCCGTGGTTACTGCCTCTCCGAATGTATCTGAGACGCTTGCATCATCGCCCCGCCTCTTGTTAAAGCACGCATGCGCCGCACTCAGAAAATAATGACAACAACAATGTAGCTTGTTGGTTTTGTAATCCAGTGTGACCCGAAGCAACTGTTCAACCTCATCGTCCGCCCATACTAATGTAGTACCAGCTCGCCCACTCGCCATGTTGTCTGTTTACAAAATTCTGCGCATGCCCAGTTCCCTTCACGGAAGTTTGGGCTTGATCCCGTCATTGCGTCACAGCACCACCAACAGCTCTGGCATAGTTTCACAGCGTTTTCAGGCGTATTGACTACATTCATATGGACGCATACATTTACTGAGCTAACTCCGTGTTTACAGAAAAAGTTTCTGAAATTATAAGCGTTTTGTCTTCGTGTGGATATAGCCTAATATTGCCGGAAACACTCAAGAATTCATCCTGTATCAGATGAAGTGTTCTATTGCCTTCATTACCTTACCATTAAGTTTCACTGAAGAATCTGTGTTGGACCATCATTTGCCCCTTTCCCATCTACAATCTCGTTTCATTTGTGGGATATTGAAACCGTATACCTGAAGTGAGGTCAAAGTTCTTGATTACTCAGCCCCCTCCATAACCAATGTATGAAAACCAGTTTATTGTTTATTTTTCATAACGTTCCAAGCACCTGAGATTTTTGCCTCTGATAACTTCTTTTGATTGTTCTGGTCAAAGATGGCTTGCCGCTCTGACAGTGCCCGCTCTCATATTGAAAGTTGACTAAACCTGGGATACGAGATAATGAAAGATAATACACTTCTGGCCATTGGACAGCTGTTTGGTTTTGTTCCCTTACTTTTGGTCCTTTAAAAAGTGGGAGGTATAGTTTCAGCAGTTGTAGCAGTTGTAACAGTTATAAATGCTAGAGTGTTCAACTGATTTTGGTGAAAAATACTGAAGAAGATGACTAAGTCCGCTCCCATCTCTGTGTGGAGTGAGAGGACAAGTGCCCAAAAATAACAATTGTAAACCGCTTTGTGACTCTGGTCTGTGACAGGCGGTATATAAATAAAGATTACTTACTTACTTAGATCCCAGACTAACAAAGACTGGGATCGTGTCTTTAATTCAGACAGAAGACATGTTTTCTTGTTGATGGTAGAGCTAGCACGAACAAGAGCACGAACAAAGAATGTTACAGACAGCAAGTGATAATATAGCATGGAGGAATGAACACCGTCCAATCAGCTTTCGCCGCGATGCCTATAGCTTGGCCTTCAGAATTCAAAACATCAAGTGGAAAAGTTCTGTCTCCTGCAAATGTTAGAATGAGTTTGAACTTAAACCACAGTTGCTTCAAAGTGTCATGAAATCTCACAATTCCATCAGTTATGTTAAAGAACATTATGCTTTCTGGTTCAAATCCATTACAGGGGTGGAGTCAAAAAGAAGAGAATCATGTGTCCCAATATAAATGAACCTGACTGTAATTATATTGATATTGATTTATATGAACTAAAGATATGAGAAAATAGTATGAGCAACAGTGTTATAGTGAAGCATCTGTGTTGACTTTATGCTTATGCTTTTTGTCATTGTAATAGTAGGGGGAAAGGGGGAAAGGAGGGGGAAGAACGGGGGAGGAGGGGCTGATTTGATAGGAGATAGTGGGGACGTCATCAGTGACTCAGCGGAGGAGGGATGGGTCAGCTGACCTGTTTCTGACTCATCCACACAGTGTGTTTGTGCTTGTTGTGTCCAATGTCTTATACTCCCTGAAGTGTGGCACTCGCTGAATTACAATGTCCCTTTTGTTAGACTGTGCTATTTACCTTTATTTCACTTATGAACAGATTTTATGTTATACTCTCCTGCTGTGATCACTGTGTTACAAATGCAATCTCACCGCTTTCTGACCGCAGACTTGAGAATGATTTGAGATTTTTATGAAAATACTTAATGCTTGAGTGAAATAATTTGCGTATTCATATTTTATGCATATATTTTACCCAATCAGGTAGAACAATGAATGTAATTTTGTAGACACTTTGAGGATCAACTCTGGTCCAGCTGGGTCTCCGAGTTGCGTACGTGCAATTAAACCGAATGAAACGTGTCCATTAGATGTGTAGATTATTATCATGGGCTCTTGAAATGCAAGGCCCGACAGAAGGAGAAAAGTTTTTTTTTTACATGGATGACTAGACATCATTATTTACAGTATTTGCACATATCACAAATGTGTGCTTTGAAAATCAGCAATAATAGGATGTGCTTCAAGCTGTCTGTGTATTTGTCCCTTATATATCTTTGCTTTTCAGCTCCATCAGTAGAAAGTGAAATGTGTGATTTTAGAGCATATGATTGAGCTTTAGATTTAGCTGCGACTGTGAACATGAATAAAATTTTGTATCTGAAAAAATGCTGGATCTGTGCATTATTCACACTTGCAGATTTGTTTGGATTCTCAACCCCATAGTTCATTCCATGGTTCGCAATAAAAATCATATAATGTAGGCTAAAATAGAGCAATAGAACACAAATGCTCCTCAGACCAGCTTAACACAGATAAAAGAAGTGATCAAAAACATTCTGCATCCTCTTTTTTTAAAGGAAATTGCTGACATTATCATATTAAAACATTTCACCAATCTGTTTTAACGGCTTTCCTTTTTCACAAGGGCAGTGCCTGAACTTCTGTAAGGTGCGGCCATTATTGCACAGGTATAAAATAAATACTAGTAACCTAATGACTTTTTTTGGTAAAAGGGATAAAGGGGAAAAGGTGATCAGAAAAAAATCAACAATTAAAGAAACAATTGAAAGAACATCTACTGCCAGCCTCGTATGGTCAGATATCACCAAGTACTGTATTTATTTTGTTCTGTTAAACACAAAGATGACCGTCAAAGTTTATCCTGAACCTTGATCCTAATCCAACGACCCTGGCTCTGATTGGTTGGCTTTGTCATTGTTCCTTGCACTCTTAAGAACTGGTGATATCAGATCATACAATCTTTTTTTTTCTTTTTGTTCTTCTATAAAGTGGTTTCTTTAGAATATTTTAATTCAACAATACAGCGTAGTCTTTTGAATAATACTATAGTCCTATATGTCATAGTTTGTGGTAAACAGCAGGAAAAGGGCAAATGGATAATAATGGGTGTAGCCTGCATTGATTTGTTGTATAATGATTTTTCAGAAATGCTGATGTGGAGAAGCCAGAGCAGACAATCAGAACTTGTTGAGTCACAGCATGGATCTGTTATAATATCAAATTATTTAATCTGTACCATGCTGAGAAAAGCCCTAGACCTTTATGGGAGCAGTTTTATTTTATTTTGAGTCTAGTCTACAGAAAACACATTACAATTGCCAACTTTTAGCCTCCATAGCTCCACAGTCCATGGTCTGCTGTACAGTATAGGTGCATGGGGGCTGTTTTATAGTTAGGGAAAACCATAGATTGTACATATTGAAAACAGAAGGAAAGGAAGGAAAACTGTTGTGGGATGTTTTTGTGCGCCATCTTGTGGAAGTGTGTTGCAAGAATACAGATCTATGTTGTCGTATTGCCATGACAACCGTCCTCAGTTCCAGACTCGAGGCTTGATGATTGCAAAGAGGACTTTATTTAGTTTCCAAAATGGTGAGCATGTTTTATGTTTTCTATTGTTATCTACCTTTTGAATAAATAAATAAATAAATAAAGCAAGAATATTGGGATTTGCTTTCGTATTTGTCTTTAGCTAACAGCAGCAAACACATTTCTCAGTAATCAGCCTTGCAAACAGTTTTGTGCTAATATTTTTTGCAGCCACCAAAAAAAGGTTCAAGTAAAAAGCCTGAAAAGTCCAGAACGCCCATTTTGATAGATGGTCTTACTAAGGATGAGATGTCCAAAGAACAGGTGAGTAATGTCTCTGATAAATAGCTTCATATTTGTGTTTCTCTAATGACCCATTTATTTATTTCATTTCCGCACTGATAAAGATCCAAGTTAACCTACATTTTATTTGGTAAATATATAGTATAGATGTCTGAGAGTGGTTCACTGTAAAAAGACCAACTCGTTTTTGATCATTCCTTCTACAGGAGAATTTAACTGAAGAAGGATTTCATATTGCAAGGAGTTTGATAGTTGTTTTGTAAAAAAATATTGATAAATGAAAAAAGAATAAAGGAGAGGAGAGGGCCCAATCTATAGAGTGTATTGTAAATAATAAAGATATCACACTATAACTTCACATTTTAGTTGGAGGAGCACATCATGCATCTGCGAGAGGAACTGGATCGAGAAAGGGAGGAGAGGAACTACTTTCAACTCGAGAGGGACAAAGTGCAGGCCTTCTGGGACGTCACTCAGAGACAGCTGCAGGGGGCTAAGGCTGAGCTCCAAACTCTGGACAAAGAGCGCGAGGAAACGGATATCAAACTTCAAATAGAAATTAAGGTAGTCTCTACTTATCTGTATATTCTCTTTGAAGACATTTATGTTAACGAATGGGTTCCTCTAGGTTTACAGACAAAAAATGAGGCACCTTCTCTGTGAACATCAAAATACTGTCTGTGAGCTCAAAGAAGATGCAGTAACTACTAAAGAGGCACTGCAGTCCGAGCAAAAAATTGTAGAAAATAAGCTTAGGACTGGTTTGGCATCTTTGCTGATAGACATAAATCCAGTGGACACTGAGATAATCATGGATCTAAAAAAGGTGACACACTTTTTACTTATTATTTATCTCATCTTTTTAACATTTCAAAATACTAACAAGCTGCATTTATAGAGCCATGAACAAGAAATGGCTTGTGTAAGAGAGGCCTCAGAAAAGAAACTTCAAGGTAAAGAACTTGCTTTGACACTTATTTCTACAGCACTATCAGTTAGCAACATCTTTGTTTGATCAGATGCCGAGGCCAAGAACGAAAGTATGTACAGTGCATTGCAACAGGATCTTGAGAACCTGGGGAAGACCGAAGTCAGTCGGGTCAGGGACTACTGGAGCTCAGTCATTAAAGCCCAGATGGAGACAGATAAAGCAGTGTATGAAGACGCCAAAGCTTTGATTCACACCACCGAAAAGAAAATCGAGGACCTCAATGAACTAAAGGTAATAACATAGAGTAGACGGATCAGATTGGCCATTTCACATACAGCAATTGAACTACAACAATATAGTATTTATCTGTCATTCCGGTTCTCACAGGGACAACATTTGAAAGACACTCCCTTACATTAATATTAATTATATTATATTAAATCTAAACCTATAAAACATTCAAAAAGCAACAATAAGGGAGAGGTAATAAATCAATCTGCCATTGTCTGCTTTAGCAATTCAATGCAGACCAAACATCCAACCTGAAGATACTGAAAAAGGACCTCACTCAGGTTTTGCAGGAGAATCAACAAGTGACGGAGCATTTGACCCGAGTCCAAGAAGAAATAGCAGTGCTTCAAAATAAAACCAAGTATCGGCCCAAAAAGTTTGACAATAAATTGGAAACTGAGCTCAATAACCTTGCATTTGAGCATGAGAACCTACAAAAAAGATATAAAGAGGTGAGATAAGGAGTTTTTCTTTAATGCTTTGCTATTTATAGAATGTTAAATGTGTTTGTAAATGTTTCAACAGCTGCAGCTGGAGGTAGCTCAGCTCCATAAAACATCAGCAGAAACCATTGAGAAGATGAATAGCAAGGCCGATGCAAAACACAGCCAGATGGAAAAGAAGATAGAGCAATTGACAGAAAAAGTGAGGGTATTCTTTTCTTATAAATCCTCACTGTATTTTTGTATGCTAAAGGTAAACCTCTGTTCACAGTTTGTGTATGTTTTTAGATGCAGAAGGATTTGTTGCTTTGCTGATCACAAAACACACGGATCAGAGGATCGCCACTGGTCACAGTTTCTGTCATGTTTGACAGAAGCATGAAGTGGAGAACAGTATCCCACTCCTCTTATACGCAAAACAGAGCTCTTTACGAGATATTTTCTTATCAAGCCCTACATTGTAGAATCAACAATGAGCATTTATGAGTGTTAGGAGTTTAATCCTCGGTTACACGTTTTAAGGATCATGATTTTGATAATTATGATTCTATATTTTCTTTCTGTTTCTGACTGGTACTTGAATTTCCCACATTGGTCTCCATAGATAAGCTCATCTCAAAACTCAAAATATGTATATTAAAATTATTAGACATTTAGTTGTTCAGTAACCAGTAGAAACTGGAGTTCAGTAATTGGGAAAAAAGTGCAATGTCATGTATGAAATCAGGTGTAGAACTCACAATAAAGCAAACACAGAAGAAACAGGAAGACAACATCAGAAGGATTTGAAGGATTTGGCAGCACAACCAACAAGATCAACTAAGGAATGGAATGGGACAATGCAAAAATAGTTGGAACGGAAGACTATAGATATAAAAGACAGGTAGAGGCAATTGAAATCAGGATGCGAGGCGCACTGACCATCAACAGAGACGAGGGGGCCTATACCTTTAGTGTTTGTCAAGCTTGTAAAGAGCGACAAAAAGCCACAAAGCTAAATCAGATTCAGATTCAGATTCATTTATTTGCCATTTGCAGTAAAACCACATTGGAAAAACTGTGCAAGACTACCCCGGTGTGCACCAGACGACACACACCAGAGCTCTTTGCTCTAATAATTACTCTGCACCCCTTTATAGGGGAAACTATGTCAAATGATTCTGCAAAACTAATCTTTCCTATCCCCTGCTGCTGTCAGACTAAAAACACATTATGAGTGATTCATGTAATTCAGATTTTATGCTCCTTTTTGACTGTAGATGCACAATCCACATTTAACATTTGAGTCCTGTTAAGAGGAACTTTTGTAACTTAAATCAATAGCTGTTCATTCCCTAGGTTTTTTTTTCTCTGTACCATACTTGATCTGTTACAAAGAATTGATGTGAGATTAAGCTGGACCTTTGGGACGACCTTTGGGACGACCTTTGGCAGAAGGGTTTTCCAAAGGGCTCTGCAACCAACCATTGAGACGGATGTATTTCTTCTTGACTTTCTGCAGTAAAAAACATGATCAGGAAAGAGGGACAATAAACCACCACTAAAGATTACATCCCATTATTGGAAAACTGAGTGCTGTGTTGGAAGGCTCGCCAGGCATGGCTCATGGGATTTCTGGTCAGGCTCGTTGCACATAACATGGTCTCTATGGGATTTGAATACAGCCTACTTTATGAAGGCAAACAGAGCACCTGGATGAGAACCTATTTTTCCCACATGAACCCAGTGGGAAAAAATGGGATACAGCCAACCCAAAAGAATATTAAACTTGGATGCCTTACAACATAGTGCGTTATATTATACTCTTTCCATTTTAGGATGATGGACTGAACAGTTGAATGAGATGTCAAAGCTTGAGAAAATCTTTGTATATCCTGCATTTATTTACTTTATCCTTCTCGTTAATTAATTGGAATTTCTGATACTGTTTTGTTGCCAATATCCTCATAAAAAAGCCTTTTATTGGGTAAGAAATAAGATAATTTATCTCTCACTTCATAATTGTCGGCCACTTTGTGTCTTTCAAAACAAAATTCAATGGAATGTTGTGGTCATAACGTGCAGTTTCTAGGACGCACCAAGATGCTCCCATTGCCAACACTATTTGTTTCCCCCCCACAGAAAAGTGGTGTCAGATATGGATTTATTTAAGAAAATTAGAGAAAAACAAATTAGCACCACATATGAAAATACAAAAACATTATTTTCTGAAAACAGAATAAAGATCAAACGCAAAACATACAAGGGATAAAGGAGTACATTTTCATAATATATTATTATTGGGCATTAAATTCTGAATTATACTGTAGGTAGGTCAGCATCAATGTAGTTGATGCTGACCTACCTATATAGTTCACAATCTAAAGCTTTATTACATATTATAAGGTAATTTCTACAATGACTATTATTTGGCTCTGTGGTTTAATATTGACCTAATAATCATTTTAATGCTATTTCCTAGATTGTTTCACAAAAGGCCTCTTTACCAAATATGGGTCAAGAGAGGAGGAGCGTCATAAAACTACAGTTGTCACGCAAATATGACGTCAGTTAACACGCGACTTGCCGGTGGATGCTAAATGTACCAGTAGCACAGTATTTTCCAAATGTTAAACTTTGCTCCCATAAACGGGAAGTAGTCTGTTTTTGTGTCGGTACATATCATAGACATATAAGAGTCCAAAAACCACAGCGCTTATTTTTGTAGCTAACGAGTGTGACTGTAAACGGTGTGCACGGTTAGCCACATCAACGGCGCCTTGTCAACACAGCAGTCCGAGGGAGAAGCTGTAACTGCGGGATGAGCTACGGCTATGGTGGAGGTGGAGGTGGAGGTGGAGGTGGAGGTGGAGGTGGGAGGAGAGGCAGGAGAGGAGGTGGACGCGGCTACAGAGACGGTAGTAGAGAAAGATGGGATCGTGGAGGTGGGAGCGCTGCCAGAGGTCACAGCTCCGATCATGAGCAGGAGCGAGGAGGGAGAGGAGGTGGGCAGCGGGACCGTCCACCCCCTCACCTGAAGGGCCGAGAGATCGGACTATGGTACGCCCGATACGGAGCTGTGAGGAGGAAACAGGCGGACCGCAGATCAGTACGTTCAATACCATTGTTGACATTCCTGTATTCCCTTGTCACACTCTGTTTAAAACGTCTGCCACAATAATTAAACACATCGGTTACCAACGACATGTCCAGTATAATCCCCCTCCCAACAATATAACATGAGAAAGTCTACACTACATTAATTCTAAGACCGAACTTAGGATATTTTATTACCCCCAACTGACATCATATACCAGTCTTGCCTGTCCTTTGACAGGCAGGGATAATGGTCTACTAAATCCTTTGGTCTGGGTACATTAAATAATTCAGGTACTTGGTTGTCCATCAGCAATGGTACTCACTGACGTAAAGCATCACTGGGCTATATACTGCATCCTTTGTTTGCACTTGATATATTTTATATCCCAATAAACAATGGAAATTCTAAAATTAAACAACTCAACTCCAGGCAGTGTATTTAGGATCAAAGTACTTCTTTAACATTTAAGATACAAAATTAAAAGAATCCCTGATTACATAAATAGTAAGTAACCTGTTTCAAGTCAGCTGCTCTCTCCGTAATATATAAAGTTTACAGAATCTTGTATGAATGTAATATAAAAAAATCCAAATCCATCCCAAAGCTAATATAAGTGAAAATGCTACTCTAGTATCTTGTAATTTTTATGAGTGTGTTTCTCACCAGCGGGCTGTGGTCCAAATGGATGAGGCCAGGGAGCAGCACATCACCAGACTCCTCAACTCTGTTCAGAACGATCAGCCAGAAAGAGTCAACAGAGCATCTACCTCGGACCACAGGCACTTTTCTAGTAAAACTGAACACTGGTATGATCTTCTATTAATAAATTAATATAAATAATATTAATAGGATTGATAATCCTAATTATAGATCTCCTATGAATAATACTCAACTTACTGGTATCTATCTGTGTACGTTTACTTAAATAATCCAAGTATAACACTATGTGCGTCCAAAAGCATTTGAAAAGCAAAGAGGGAAAATATTATCTTTGGCAATGCCAGATTCCTTTGTGAGTGGACAGAGCCAATTCTATTTTTCAGTTACTTTGATGGAGAAATGCCTGAGGAAAAGAAACACTACAGAAAACCTGCACAATCTGATGATGATGATGAGGATTGCGATCAAAAAACAGGAACACAAACATCCCAATGGTAAAAACGAAAAGCGTAATCAGTTAATTGCAGTTGTCTTTCTTCTAACTTTCTAACCTTGCCCATAGCTCCTCCAAGGTTAAGGATGAACTTCCTGACAAGTGGGATGAGGAGGAACCACAGACAACAGACAATCAGCAATGGGATGATAAAGAAGCAGAGTTTTTACTTCAGAAAATAGCCAAAGACGACTCTTTGGATGATATTTTAAGACAAGATCTTCAAAACAAGAGATCAGGATCAAAGTACAAAGAAATGCTGGTAAACCCACTGGATGCTATTACAAAGCGTGTTCTATTAGTTGAATATTAATAAATGACATGTGTTTTTCATACAGAAATTTCGAGAAAAGCTCCCTGCATTTAGTAAAAAAAAGGTAAGCTTTGTTTATCTTTATTCATTGAAATATAATTAGATTGGTCGTTCCTGTCTCTTTCCGAAGCACTTTATGATTTCTACATTACCAGTACTGTCTGTCTGCAGCTGTCTGATTTATTGTGTCACTTCTGCCATTTTAAAAAAAAAAAGAAAAAAACTATATATAGAAGTATAATATTGTTAGGTTATTGCTTGTTCACTTTGTGGACTTTGACATCATTCTAGGAGCTCGTGGATCTAATCAACTCGAACCAGGTTCTGGTGGTGAGTGGAGAGACAGGGTGTGGAAAAACCACCCAGGTCACTCAGTTCATCCTGGATGATCTTATCGAGCGAGGCGTGGGATCCACCTGCAGAGTAGTGTGTACTCAGCCCAGACGAATCAGTGCCATTTCTGTACGTTCTGACCACATTTTCACACTCAGAGTCCACACATTACTCTGAGCAAGTGTTGTTGTGTGCGTCATGTGCTCAGGTGGCTGAACGTGTAGCAGCTGAAAGGGCTGAAAGTGTTGGAAATGGGAATTCTTGTGGCTATCAAATTCGTCTTCAGAGGTGAGCAATCTTTCACAGAAGACAACATTTTAGAAATACTTGTGACTGAAAATGTATTTTGAGTCCTTTTACACGTTCCAACAAAATGATATGCTGTCAATAGGTTTTTGAATCAAGTTTATAATACCTGGACCAAACATGAGAGGTTTTGTGAATTGGACAAGGCTATAACAATTAAAGAATTAAATTGTTTTTCACATGGATCTAACAAAAAACAATTGTTATACATAGTCTCTGTGAAGATGTTCTCGCTTGAGCTCTGTTTTGGTTACATTTTTAAAATATCATGACATGACATGACAGTATAGAGAAGCATACTTTAAACTCAATAAAATACTTAGTTTTTGTTTTTAAACATTTTTAATTTGTTTGTCATTCTTACTTACTGAACTAAGTGTTTTATCTTTCTATACCTCTTCCCCAGCCGGTTGCCACGGAGACAAGGATCTATCCTGTACTGTACAACAGGCATTATTCTGCAGTGGCTCCGCTCAGATCCGTGAGTTTCCTGCTATATATTCTTTTTCTTCAAGCTTATCACATCCCCTCTTGGCAATTGTGCTGGGTCTTAGTTCCAGCCTCCGGTCTCGTATCCCCATGTGTCTGGCCCTGGTCTACTGTCTGGGGGAGAAACTCAGTAATGGCTTTTCAGACTTGCATAAAGCAGAGAGCGCAGACACACACACACACTTTTGTGTGTGCTCATTCTCGTATTCAGAGAGCCTTCTTTTTGCAAACCACGGAGGCTGATGGAGCCAGCTTGTCCTTGTTTATCGTGCCTCACCTGAATTGGAATCACTTTAGAGATTGACTCAGGACAGCAGTTGTAGACTGTCAAATGAATCCAGATTTTGTAAAGGTGATGTCAGTAAAATCATGTTTTAAACTAATGCATATTTTGACCATTTGGCCTGTAGTATAATGGTAGTTTATTGTAAAGAAAGAAAACATGCTAGAGAGAGGTAGGATGGATTATTTCAGCAAAAGATAAGTGCTCACTAACACATTCTTAAAAGGTAGAAATATTTGTGTTGAACAATATTTGAGAGAAATTACCTATCTGTCTTTTGTGTGTACATATAAATGTGTATATATAAATTTGAAAAAAATGTATTGCAATTTATTGGTTAAATGTATTGTTATGCAAAGTAAAGTAACAAATACAGCACTAAAGCTGTAAACTATATAAATAAAGCTTACTTACTACTTACTAAAGCTCTGATTTTTAACACATATTTATACTATTTTCACCTCACTATACACATGAATTATTTTTTTCCCTTTCTTCCTCTTCTTTCAGATCGTTGTCAAGTATAAGTCACATTGTATTGGATGAGATTCACGAGAGGAATCTTCAGTCTGACGTTTTATTAGTCATCGTTAAGGACCTTCTCGATATCCGGAAGGACCTCAAAGTCATCCTCATGAGCGCCACTCTCAATGCTGAAAAATTCTCCAAATATTTTGGTAGTTTTTCATATGGATTTATTGTTGTTCTTTTGCTTTAGATTCACTGTGATACATTATTTATGCATTCTAGGTAATTGTCCAATGATACATATTCCTGGTTTGACATTCCCAGTTGAAGAATTTTTACTTGAGGATGTTTTGGAGATGACTCGGTAAATCAGGCTAGCACGCTTTTATTATTCTGTACATTTTACTAAACTGTTGAAACTTGAAACAGATACCAACCCCGAAATCAGGATCGCCGCTCTTCCTCGAAGCGGGGATTTTGGCAAGGACGTAACTGCAGGTCGGAGAAGAAGGAGAAAGAGGCAGAGTACAGGGAGAGCTGGCCTTGTTACGCACGCACCTTACAGGGCAGGTGAGTGGAACTCGCGGTTAAAGCAAACAGACGCGTGGATGAAAAGCATGGACTCTAATCTACCCTGAAGAGCTCTTAAGTTACATTCAATGAAAAATATATCAAGGTTTTGTATGTGCAGCTCTGCACATGCATTATTCACGAGGGTAGAGCTTCATGAATTTTGATCATAAAACAGAAGTGTAGAAATAATACAAGCTCCACCTGTCGAGAGAAGCCGGTATGAGAACTAAATAAACTTGCTAGATTGAATAAATGTTTGTTCAGCATATGGTGGATTTACATGTTTTGCATAGGTTTTTCATATTAGTATTATTTACTCTTTTTCACTTCTAATAATTACACTTTCTGTAAATATTTGCCACATTTCATTGATCTTTTGGGACAAATATACAGTATATACTTCAATAATGTGTGATTAATTCATCATTATGTTTTAGTTTTATCTGCTACCAGTGTAATAGGAGCGTAGCAGAGGCCTGAAACTATATAAGAGATAGAGGACTAAATAAACAAATAATAGAAAATGTATGGAAATGTTGGTGGTAAGCAAGATCTCTGTATAGAAAGTGTAGTGGATTCAGCTCATGGCGCCAAAAGGGTTAACATAATTAACTCTGTATAATATTCTCTAGATACTCTGACAACACCATTGAAGCTCTGGAGAAGTTAGACAACGAAGACAAGATTGACTTGGAGCTGATCTTGGCTTTAATACGGCACATTGTCAACAGTGATGACGTAAGTTTTAGTTTTAACTTGCTCTGACAGAAACATATAATTATTGCACTTCTGATTCCATTCAGAAAGGATTCAGAATTGACGTTAATACAGATTTCAGCGTCAGGACATATGGTACATTTTCCACTTTAGATATATCATAACAAAAAAAACACTGACCCTGACACCAGCTCTATGACTGATTCAACAGATGCTCTGCACAGATATTCTCCTAAGTTTATTTCCAGCATTGCATTTGTTGTTGATGTCACAAATGTACACATTAAAGATACGTATTGAGAAGGTTTAGCAAATGTACATGTGAGTTTGTCACTCACAAGTGTTTGCTTGTTTGTGTTGAGACCAATTTAAGAATTGAGGCTTGTGTATTTCAAAGCCTCACAGAGACTATTCACTGACAGAGTAAGACAGAATAAATACCCCAGTCCTTAAACGTGGTTCCTCCATCAGCCACGTTGAGCTTGGTGCTGATTCGCTGTGACATGGTCCAACAGGTGTAAAGGACCTGTCTGATGTGCAGTCTTTGCTTTCACTATGTCAATTGGTTAATTATGTTGCTCAGTCTGTGATTAGACGCCTGGGGGTTGACATGCCGATTTTAAACACTGTCATTATCCAAGCAGCTCTTAGAAACTGTTGTGTATGAAATAATCTCTGCTTCTATAATTTCTCTTTTAAATGCCAGAAAGGAGGTGTGGTGTGACTTATCAGCCCAGTTTCAGCGAACATTGACACATGTAGAGCACTGCAGCCCCATGTGGGTTCCAGTTGGAAGCTGGTAATAATAATTACCTTTAATTAAAAGGCAGGGGGTTCCTGAGGGCTCACTGCGCTTCTTTCTGAGCTTCAGCGTTCCTCTTTTCTCTAAGACAATGCTGCTATTTTTAACTCATTTTAGTTTCAAGTGTAATGTTTGATGAAGCCATGATGTACCTATTATTAAATTATTTTATTGTAATTGGAACTTGTTACATTCAACACATGCAGGTCCTTGCTTTTTGAAACTTAACTTAAAATCATTTTCTAATGATTTCATATGTTGTATGTGAATTGAGGGTAGAATGTAATTCTACCCTCACACATTTGTTAAAGATGAACTGAAGAAAGGCCCTCCTTCATAACAGGCTGTTCTCTTCTCTTGCCCCTGGTCAATAGGGGTTTGAATGCGTTAATGTGAAGCAAGATCTGTCTTGTGCAGAGATAATGTCATAATTATGATCGTTCACAGGAGGATAGACGGTCGGCACAAATCACAATCACGGTTCTCCGGAGAGAACAGCCGCACCTCAATCCATTTGCAGCTGTGCTTGTGGTTAATGGCTTTTTTCTGCCCGGGGATTTGTTTGTTGTTTTTTCTCAGCTGCTGGAGTGCCCGTCTCTTTCTTAATGATTTCTTCTTTTCTAGGAAGGAGCGATTCTAGTTTTTCTCCCTGGGTGGGACAACATCAGCTCTTTAAATGACCTGCTTATGGCCCAGCAAATGTTTCGATCAGGTAGGTATTAACAATTTATGGATTTTTTGATGTATTATTTATGCATGGATGCTCATTTCTCCTCAATGTTACAACAAATATTTAGTTTTACCTGACATAATGGAAATATATACTTTTGACATGTGAATTAATTGTAGTTTCTCTTTCAGATTCTTTCATTATCATCCCTCTTCACTCACTCATGCCCACGGTCAATCAGACACAGGTCAGTTTTCTTCAGTTTCAGTTTTCATCCAGTCTTTAGTCCTGTTATGAGCTGGTCCTCTCATTCGCAGGTCTTTAAGAGGCCCCCTCCTGGTGTCAGAAAGATCGTCATAGCCACCAACATTGCTGAAACAAGGTATTGGCATGGTTGTTCCATTTTCTTAATATATACTGTATTTGTTGATATTTGGGGAAAGTATATTTTCTGCTGTGTTTCTTAGTCGATAGTTATTTTTATGAACTGGATATGTCATTTCCTAAGACTGCTGCCATGGAGCTTTGATCAGTTAACTCATCTGACAGCTCCTTTCAAATGCTGACACAGGCCGAGCAAATCAACAAACCACTTTCACATTTTAGAAATATTGACCAAGAATGTGTTTAATGAGCAATTTTCAGTAAGTAATTGGGTGTCTGCTTTGATGTTTTTCATCTTTTTTTTCTCCCTTTAACCTACTTTTCCCAGCATCACCATAGATGATGTTGTCTATGTGATAGATGGTGGCAAAATTAAGGAGACTAACTTTGACACCGAGAACAACATTAGCACAATGGCCGCAGAGTGGGTCAGCCTGGCAAATGCCAAACAACGAAAAGGTCGAGCTGGGAGGTGAGTCTCTTAACATTGTTATTATGGATGCAAGAAGATTTCAAGTGTAATATTGCAAACTATATTATCAATTATTCATGTATCTCTGCACTAAAGTACTACACAGTCCTGTCCTTAGGCAAGATACTCCCATTGCCAATTATCCATCTGGTGTGTGTGCAGGGTAGCTGTGGCTACAGCAGTAGTTTATGTCCTCTGTGTATATGTAGCTATGCTAATCTGTCAGGACTTTCATATTTGCATCGTCTCCCAGCTGCTCTTCTCCAAACACTTTACACAGTGTCAGAGGTCATTACCGCTCTGACACTCGTCTGGGCTGTTGCCGCCTTCTGACGTCAAACCAAAGACATTTTCTATTTGCTCCTTACTAAGTGCTGTTTGTTTGTCAGAATACCTCTTTGAATACAAAATGTCTCCTCTTCAGAGTGCGGCCAGGAAAGTGCTATCATCTGTACAATGGTCTCCGGGCCAGTCTCCTGGACGCCTATCAGCTGCCTGAAATTATGAGGACGCCGTTGGAAGAGCTCTGCCTGCAGATCAAGGTCTGAGAGGCGATGTGGGAACTGTGAATATAGTGATCAGAGCTGAAGATGAGACTAGTGAATGAGCCGGTAGAGTGCAGAGATACAAGTGAGGGATTTTTCCCTCTTTGCAGATGAATGAGATAGTTCAGTCTTTCATTTTTACAAAATCAACCCCCTAATATATCTACTTGTTCATGCTCTGTCTTAAACCGTCTATAACCTACTTCTTGCTGGTGGAGTTGGAGTTAATTGTTTATTGTTATTTTTATTTGTTGTGTGTAAACTTCTTCCATAATTTCCTAGATTTTGAAGCTTGGATCTATTGCCAGATTCCTACAGAAATCCCTAGACCCTCCCTCTGAAAATGCTGTGAATCTTGCAATCAAGAACCTCACAGACTTGGTAAGAAAAGACAGAACATTAATAATGTAATTACATTTGATATGAATTAGGGATGTAAATCGGAGACCGTTTAACCGGTGGTTGACCGTCACAGCGTTAACCGGTCAAAGCTGTCGGTTAAAAAAGAGAAAAAGGGGAGAGGGGAGGTCTCTTCATAACGCTATTTTAAGCCCTATTTGCACGATGTGACGAGCGGGTCTGTATCTAGCTGTGTGCGCCAATGTATCAGTAAACTCCGGGCCGACTCTCTCACGCCGCACGCACCACATATGCATGCACAGACACACACACGCTTTCCCCCCCTCCATTGATACGTAACATCCATACGCATCATCTCTCCCCTCTGTTACCGCCTGCTAGTTGCACACTGGTGCAGGTCAGAACTACATTGGAGCTTATATTAACACCCACACATACATGTATTGTAGACACACAGTCTGTCGCGCTCCTGTGTCACGGAGCCCAAAGGATCCTCGCAAAACGCAGCTCCAGTCAAACCACATGAAAGATGTTTGTGCTGATGGTCCTTGACATCAGTTCCACACACATCACTTTTAAACTTTAGCGGAGACCTGCGCGACGCGGCTCGTCACTCGCTGCTCTGACCATGTGAACGAGCTGTCTTTTGCTTAAAAATGCTTTAACCCGCAGCACAGCAGGATGGGAAGAATAAAACATCAGTTCTGCTGTTGCGGGTTTTGGCGCCGCTGTCTCTGCTCTGATCCAGTAGAACGCAGAGCTGCACTTATGGAAAGTACGCGGCTCGAAATGGCTGTTATTTCAAAGAACGTGGACTATTTTAAACTACGCGGTTAACCGGTTTCAACCGGTTAATGAGGCTCGGTGGTCGGTCATGAAAATTTGTAGTTTTTTTACATCCCTAATATGAATCTCTACATTTCTTTTACAACCACATTTCTTAGACTGCCCTGGACCGGTCTGAAAACCTAACAGCATTGGGCATCCATCTTGCCCGTCTCCCTGTCGAGCCGCACATCGGAAAACTCATTCTGTTTGGAGCTTTGCTGGGTTGCCTTGACCCCATACTGACCATTGCTGCATCCCTTAGTTTCAAAGACCCATTCTTTATTCCTTTGGTAAGTTATCTCACACAACGCAAAACGCTGCTTTCCCTCCAACTTTTTTGACTTGAATATTTCTCACACATGTACTACTCAGGGAAAAGAGAAAATGGCAGACATGCGACGAAAAACCTTGTCCAGAAATTCTAAAAGTGATCATCTGACTATTGTCAATGCCTTCAAGGTGAGAAACGGCTGCTCTTCTGCCAAACTAAATCATCTGTAAAAAAAAAAAAATGAAAGTGATTTTTTTTCCAGGGCTGGGAAGAAACCAAGCATAGCGGTGCTAGGTATGAGAGGGAGTTCTGTTGGGATAATTTTCTCTCTGCTAATACGCTTCAGGTGACACAACATTATCAAAATAATTCACTACTCTCAAATTAAACTCAATTTAGTATTCATACACTCAATGTTTTGCACCAATTCTGTTTTTTTGTTCCAGATGCTCCACAATATGAAGGGTCAGTTTGCAGATCACTTGATGAATGCTGGGTTTGTAAGCAGTCACAATCCTAAAGATCCCAAATCTAACGTCAATTCAGGTGCTCCATTTGACACATATTCCAGTGCATTTTAACAGCCGATTGTTTATTATATGTACTGCTCATTTTCTTTCCAGACAACGAAAAGTTAATCAAAGCAGTGATTGTTGCTGGCCTTTACCCAAAAGTGGCAAAGATCAGACCCTGTCACAGCAAAAAAAGGCCGTAAGTAATCAGTAAGGGTAATAGTAATTGAATCGTGAAGTGACTTGAGACCCTGAACATTTGTTTTTGGCTGTGATGAGTTTAGAAAGTTGACACAAACACTTCTACTCCATCATTCAAGGCCGCATGAATTTTTAAAAGTTATTAGATTTTAGTTTAATTTTTTTCAAACTTGTAAAACACATTTTTCCATATCTTCACACTAATACAGGTTTAAAAAGGGGTTAGATGGAGCAGACGCTTAAAATTAATATATATTAATACATTTTGTGGATTTGACTCTACTTTGGCTATAAATGTTGTAGTGTTTCACATGTTGATTGTATACACTTGTCCCTACCAAATAAATAAATACTACAGTTTTTACTATTTGCTCAGATGATTACCCTCCAATGAGAATAGATGAGCCATTTCAATCAAAATATTTATATATTAATTATTGTGAAGGCTTCATAGTTTTCTAGTTTATCATATAAAGAAAATAACAGTTCAAATATATTCTATAATGTAAGCTATGATTATATGATAGATGATGACTTTATTCAGACTTATTTCAGCCCAGAAGAGCAAGACATAACAAGAGTATGTAGGTTTGCCTCTAGTTTCAGCTACTAGTAAGATTTTTAATTCTGAAATGTGCCTGTATTCAACAGGGCTAAAGTGTACACACACACTGATGGAAAAGTTTGCATCCACCCAAAGTCTGTGAATGCAGAGGAGACTGAGTTCAACTACCACTGGCTCATTTATCACCTGAAGATGAAGACCAGCAGTGTGAGTGATGGCGGAGAAGTGTTTCTATGTTGCAAATCTTTTTGAAGGTGCCGTATTGTGAGTGGGTGAAACGGACGGTCAGTAAAAGCTGCACGTCGGACTTTACACTGAATGAATATTTGATTAAAGCACAGCCTTTCAAGTCCATCTCAAAGGCTCTCATGCATCAAAGTGGACGACACATTGTGTGCGGCGTCACTCCAGGCTGCTGCTATTCCCCTTTTAGCTCCTCCACATATCCACCTGTCTGTGTCTGTAGTGTCATAGAGGTGGCATTCCTAGTTATGAGAAAAGTTGAGACACAACATGAGCAATTCATATTCTAAAACAACCTTTTCACATGACACCTTTTATGTATCTGTAGATATTTGGGAAAACAGGACTTGGAGGTAAAAGTGTGGATTATTCTGGGGGTTGGAGATGAGTGGCAAGACAAATGGTGTGTGTTTGTGAGTGTGTGTACATGTGTGCATATGGTATATGTATGTACTGCTTGTATGTAGGGGCGACAGTGGCTCAGTTGGTAGAGCATCGGCCTTTGAGCCTGAAGGTCCTGGGTTTGAATCTATTACGAGACCTACTTCACAACTCCCACTGATGACTGCTGTCGTTGTGTCCTTGGGCAAGACACTTAACCCCACTTTGCCTGAAGCCCCCACTGAAAGATCAAGGCTCCTGTGGACTCACCACCTGCAGGAGGATCAGTGAGGGGCTGGTGCTCTGTGGACTGGGTGCAGCTCTGACTGCCACCCCCGCCGACCCAGAAATGGATTAAGGGACAGAAAAAGGATGGATGGTTGCATGTATTTTTTTATATTATATTGTATTGTATTGCGGAGTGTGTCACCCATCCTGGTAACAAAGGACCCCTTGAAAAACAGATGATGCATCTCAATAGGGCTATCCTTAAATGAATGAATAAATAAATAAATAAACACATACATACATATATAGGACATATCATATTGGTTTGCATTGGTAAATAATAAATAATTTGCTTAAAACCACTGCTTTCTGATACCAGTTAAAGGGATCGGGCATGCTAACTGACCAAAATGCTTTAACATTTCACTGAACTGCACCTCACATACAAAAATGAGACAAAAGACAGTGCCATACTTTGTGATAAAGCAGCCGGTCGATGGCCACCGCCACCAGGGCGCCGTGACATTTGTGTTCACACATGGGTGAAGCGCAGACTCCACGTTTGTGCTTTAATGGAACACTTAGAGACACATGACACACGCGCTGTCACCACATCATGTCACGGCGATATGTGCCTGTGTGGTTAATGTGCCTCACCACACAAACTTGTTTTTCTTTTTTTTGCACAACTGTAGATTTTCCTGTACGACTGCACCGAGGTCTCTCCATTCTCTCTCCTCTTCTTTGGAGGTGACATCACAATACAGAAAGATGGAGACCAAGAAACTATAGCTGTGGATGAGTGGATTGTGTTCAGATCACCAGCACGCATCGCTCAGCTTGTTAAGGTGATTTATTATTGTATTATAATAATGAGGATTAAAACATAATTGAGGACCATGTTCAAAATTGGAATCGCAGCTAAGACATGATTTATCACCGTGACACGTCTCTTTCAGAGTCTGAAGAAAGAGCTAGACTCACTGTTGGAGGAGAAAATTCGAAATCCTGCTCCTGTGGACTGGCAGAATCGTCAGTCTAAAGATTGTGCCGTCATCACAGCCATTATAGACCTCATCACGACCCAGGAGAGTCCCCACGGAGGCACAGGGCCTTACAGCAGAGCACAGGAGAGTGGCCCCAGAGGACAGCACTTTTACTTTGATGATGAGGACGAAGAGGACTAGAAGGGATACGTCTCAAGATATACATTTTTAAGATGCTGAAATATAAACGGTCTTTTCTGACCGATCACAGACAGAATATGCATTTGATTGGACTATTGCTGCATGCATCTTAGTGACTGTTCACTGAAGTCTGAGGTAAATCCACTAAAATATAAAACAATATGTATTAAACAATTTACCAAATGGAATTGCATGTCTGTTGGTAAATATTTTTTACTAAATTCAAACTCGGACTAACTATGCAAGTGGGCAGGATGGTTTTTTCTTTAGTGTGGATCATAAACTATTCCACAGTCTGACATGCGTCTCAGAGGTTGATGACTTTTCCACTTCCATGTTCAGTAAATGTGCACTTTGAGCATCATGCCACGATATGCAACCATCAAAATTCACTGAACACCAGAGACCCAAGGAAATTAAGTGTTTTTATTGTAGCAGCTGATTATGCAAATATAATCCACTACACCTTGAATATAAACATTTGTTTGAAAATACATATTTTGATGCAGTTTTATGTACACATTTACATAAGCATAAATTATATACACACAAAGTATTTTTCCCTGAGTGAAAGTTTGGGTGACTTCAGATTCCTCTACTGGCCTCTATGGAGTCGTGCTTTTATATATTTGTTAATCATGATAGCGTCACACTCAGTCCTTTTAATTTCCTCTAGCCGCCAAAAGGATGATTCATATGGTGAACGTGTATTTCAAATCCCAGAAAAAAACAAGTCAAATGTATTTTAGCTTGTCCTTGGAACATCGCAAATAAAGCCTGCAGACGGTGTGTCTCACCTTCATATTGAGGTCCCGATCTTGGAAGAAGTGTCACTGTTTTTCTTAAGACCTTTTACTGTTCGCCGTTGTCTTATTTCTTTGTCTACTGCAGCACTGAACATCCCCACGCATTAGGGAAAAGCTGTCAATCAGACTTTGATTCATCTAATCTAAAAGCTTTGTGAAATTAAACAAAATTGTCGAGTTGTTTTTATGAAGCTTGTTCCTATTACCACAAATTTCAACTCATGTAAAAAAAAAATAAACCAGACTTGAGATTGCCACTTGTTAAAAGGTGTTGAAGCTGTGACTTTGTGGGTGTAAATGTATTTTACTTGCAGATAAATAATGAATTAGGCAACGGCTGCTGTCGGCTCATGTGCCCACACAAACATCTACCCTTAATTAAGGGCAGCTTCTACACTTGTTCATCCTCTGATGTAATCCTGTGTAGGACACTAAGCTTCATATCCACTAAAATCCTTGGCTTCAGAATGTATAGTGTCTGAGTGGGAAGCACATGGGCCTCACAGCAAGAAGTTTGAGGTTTGATCCTTGGATTACACCAGGCCTCTTCGTGTGGCGTTTGCTTGTTTCTCTCTGTTTTCAGGTGGATTTCCTCTGGGTTTCTCCATACCCCAAAACATGCACCATATCTGACAATGAACTGACTACAGGTTGACCTGGTGGCATTGGAATGATCAAATGCAGAAAACTGATCTCGCTATGGTGACAGGAAAGCCAACTGTAATCTTTTTGGTCTGGTTGGATGAGTTCTATTACTTAAGTAAAAAACCTAAGAGAGAAAGTAGCATTTCTCCATCTTGCATAAGTCTCAAACGTTTGTCTCTAGTCCTTGTAAACGGTCCATCCTCTGCATGTTGCGCTCGATGGTAGCCTGGCACGTGATTGGCTGAGTGCATTCCATAAGGAACCACCCCCTCTCCCCATCACGCAGACGCTCCCCTTCATACCAACCTAAACAAGAGAAATAATACATGTGAACTGTGTTGCCTTCGCTTTTGAAGAGTAGAGCTGCCTGTCCTTTAACATGAAAGCTGTCGCCATGATCAATGGAAAGGAAAAGGCTACAGGGTTTTGGAGCGTTAACTTACATCACTATCTCAACATATATGTAGCTAAGCATGAATATATGAATAGACTACATAAGACTAATGAAGGACATGCACTGAATAAATACTGTGTTGAGAATGTAAAAAAAACATTTCAGTGTAATGGAGAGTGGTTTACTTACCATCTACTGTCTGTGAGATCAGAACGACATCAGCCACCTGCAAAGACACCTCGTCGGGCTGCTTGGCTGTGTACGTCCGGATCGCCTCTACTTGCATGGCATCTGTAACACAACAATTATATAGGTGGTAATACCTTTGTACAAGAACACACAGTAGAATCTGTTCTTGTAGTAGTAGAAAAATATATAGAACCTAAAACTCATTGTGGAAACATAATGTGTTGGTGTATTTATTGTTTCTGTTACTTTCCTAAGCTTACATCTGGCCCAAAAACATATTAACCAATCCAATGTGTGTTTACTGTATGTCATTACATTACAACCTCTCGTACTACATATTTATGTTTGTAAATTGTTTTACCATTCTGCCAATAGCCACCAGAGGGCGCGCGCGGCTCAGAAAAGGCAACTTTCGCTCTTGGATCTGCTGTAATATCTGTGAATAATGAAACTTACTTCTGTCCAGGCTCTTCTTGTTGTTGACGCTCTGGCCCAAGGCGCTGACCCAGCGTGCACGCTCATTACTAAACAAACACACACATGTTAGTTTTAATTGAGTTTCATTTCAACAGGTCACACTGATTACACAATTAAGTTTGTCAATATTAAAGTTGAGTTGTGGGGTACTTGGAAGAAGAAGAAATGTCTGACGGGAAGGCATTAACATTGGTTGATCTATAGTGCCTTATATTATATTATCTGTATATTAAACTGGCTAAATAAATAGTGTTATAGTGATATAAATACCTGTACCATGTAAAACATATTTGAAATAGTATAGAATAATTTTCAAGGGGGATATTCAGGAAGTAGAAATCCAAGAATTAATCATTTGCCCTCCACTCATTCACAGAGAACACAGGTGCATTTTCAGTCCTGAATGGAGTGAGCTGGAGTCGCACAAAGCCTGATTCTCCAAAGGGGACAGAGAATTGTTGAATTGTTCCTCTGTGTGTTTGATGAGAAAGAAGGAGGTGGAGCCGCACAGGTCAGATTCCAGGAAACCTCAGATTTAGTTTCACCTGCTCCGTCCTCTCCACAGTTACACAGCACAGGAAATGACTGAAGCGTTTGGCCTATAGGCACAATCACAGTGACTCTAAGCTTTTGTAGCCCCACATTATTGGCCTGAATCCCGTTTTATAACATCCAAATGAGTGCTGCGACTGACGATGTTTCACAGACCTCTTATTGTTCTAGTTCTGGCTCCTGTTCAGGTTCAATAAATGTCATGCAACGGGTCAGTGTTAGATTTCTATTTAGGAATCATGGGCACAATAAATGCATACGTTTGAATATATATTATGGAGAGGAGAGTCATTTAAGGCAAACCTTTAGTTGCAATAAAGCAAATAGCGGGTAATTGTTAAGTGTTTTATAGCTTTTTATTGTTTTATTGCCTTTTACTTGTCCTCTGTGGTAAACGAAAATGTGCAATATACATTCCATGCATTATAAATATCAAAGTAACACAGTATGTGTGTTCCCATCAATGATAAATATCATCAAAACAAGTGCAATGTGTTGTGTGTGGTTAATGTGAATGTGAAGTGATCCTGGGACAGGCCTGTGGCAGCTGCATGTGTCTGTCCCTCACACAGCATATGGATCTACACCACTACAATCCTCCCTGTGAATCTCAAACAGCTGAAAGTCCTCTGCAGATGCACTAGAACACACCCAAAGTACCACAAGTGTTTGGAAAACACTTAATGGTTATCTGTGGAATGTCAGCCACATACCACAGAGTTCAATCAGAAAAGGGGCTCATCCAAGACTGTATCATCCATGACTGCTCTGTTGTAATGTACAGGAAAAATGGCATATAAATGATTCGATCTTACAGAGGAGGAATGTGGATAAACATATGTGTCTCCAACATATATGTGTTTAAGGTATGAAGAATTTTGAGTTTGGATGTTCTTTTCTGAAAGTTTTTTCTGAACAAATTCAGTTATGTTTGGATTGTTATTCTTAGGACGGAGTGTAAGTCTAGACGGATTATAAAGATATGGTTACATTCAATACATACAATAATGAGAGGATTTGCGTGTTGGTTTTCAGAATAATATGCACGTAACCTCTTACTATCAATGCTTGTTTGATATCAGTTGATGTGTGTAGATTAAAATACAATAATTCATAGATCCCTAAAGTCTATGTAGGGTAGCCTGTTGAATCGTGAGCGGTTCGCATCCAGCTGCCCAGGGGCAGGCTGCATATACCATGACTGCCTTTAGGTCATATCAGCCTGAACTCCACAAATCACTCAACCACTACTACACGTCTCTCTGACCTTCTCAAATACAATATCACTGACACATTTATGCAGAGCAGCTGTTGGCCAGTCTCACCCTGAAACACATCAGCAGCACACACTTCTTTCACCTGGAGCGAAACTTTACTTTTTCAGTTTCTTGAGTGAATATCTTTCCTCTGCTGTGTCCAATAAACTAGTATATACTATATGTCCATATTTTTGTTTGTGGAGGTCCCTCATCTTTAGTGTTTACTGGCATGTGTTTCATGATGTGTTTCAGTCCTTGAAGTAAAAAGGCAAAGCAGTCGCTTGTCCACTTCTTATTCACATATCCTTTATTATGCTAAATCTCCTTTGGCATTGAAACATTTCTTCAAAAGAGCAAGAATGTCAAGCATCATAAATCCCTGCTTGGTTTCTTATTTCACGTCTGAGTAGTGGAGGGGCCTAGCTGCACTGCGAAACCTCTTCCACCAGGAAAGATAAAGTGTGTTGACAGCGTATTTCTGACCTGGCTTCCTCTGCCAACCTCAAATCACCAACAGACCACTGTTTTTCTGTCTCATCTCTCACTACCTTCGGCTTCAGGTTCTGCTCTATCACTTTGTTTTTTCAACACAAAACCACTCCCATGTTGACTTAGAAGTTTTTGGAGCTCAGATGTTTTCAATGGAAATATTTCATCCTTTAGAGAAAGAAATGGAGCGCAAAAAGACCAAAACACCAGTTCCAGACGCACATTTGAATCCAGCGTGGAGAGCACATTTCGACTGTTATGCAACTATAGTGCAGACTTTGTTTTGCAGTGGACTTCTGGACTGCTCCGTCCCACCAACAGAGAAGCCCTATTCAGTGTAGGCTTGACATGCGAATGCTTAACAAAGGATGAGAAAAGGAAGAGGACATGACGTTACAATGGAGAAGAGTCAAAGGCAGAGACGTCTGAGAGGAAACACACACTTGTCTTTGTGCTATCTCTGCTCCAGCTGCTGCACCACATTCTTTAAGCATGTCATCATCACAAACTCCAAGCATTTCCACTTCACAAATACATACAAACTCAATCTGTGGCTGAGAAGTCTTTGAAATTCCATTTGAAGCAACCCGTTCTATAGACATGAGCGATATATATCAGAAAATATAACATCGGAAAATTAGAACATGGTTAAAAAGTCAATTTACTTCTAGGTATTCAACTCAGAATGTGTCACTACTAGGTTTCCTCCTCTTGCTCCGGTTTGCCGTACCACTAAAAACATGAGTGAATGGATGGTGTTGGTCGGGGCTTTGATGCGTCAGTGTGTTCAGGTTCTCGCTTCTGTCATCACCGTGTGTGAATGTAAAAATATCTGTAATCTGAACATTGCAAAGCACTTGGGGTGACCTTGGTAGTGAATGTTAATAATTATGGTTCACAGCTGTAAAAAAACAACATAAAACATCAAAACGATAACAAACAGCACTAGATACTTTGCATGTATTGAATCTACACAACATTTTATAGTTGCTAGAAGCTAATCTAGTCATATTTGGGTTTCACACTTTTGCTTTCCACAATCCTTCCTGGTAACTATGGTAACTGTGACAAGACAAACTTCTGGTTTTAGTTTAGAAATAATGAAAAAAAAGTTCACCTTTGTCAGTATGAATCATGGTATGAATAAAGTCTCAAAATGGTGACCAAAAAAAGCTTGATGCAGCTTTTTTTTTAATCTAATCACTTCCAAATATTTGGACAATACATTTAATTGGCACCTGCCCTCCACATGAAATAGAATGATAAAACATAAATGTAACCGCCTGGAAAATTAAATGCACTTTATTTTGATACACTGTATTAAATGAATATAGGAGGATTTTTGTACTTCTGGGTGGATCATCAAGACTATTGAGCCTCCTAATTATAATCATTCTGACAGAGCGTTTTGTTCAAAAAGTGGAGAGGGCGGTTCTTTCCTAGTCTGGCCTTATCCATCCATACACTCCGTTCAATCATCATTTCACTGCATGTAACGTCTGGGTCTAGTCCCTATGTTAGCGATTACAATCGGTTGAATTTCGACCGACCAATCAGCGAGCGCGGAAGGCGGGTGTTGTAGTTAGTTGTGGGTGACGTCAAGAGTTTGCGTCGAACAGGAAGGTTGTAGTTTGGTAATGGCGAAGAATGCGATAGTAAAGTATTCCGGTCTGGTTCTATCAAGAAATTGACGCAGGAGCAAGAGGAATGTTTAGCAAATGTAATCGCTGGAAAAATTGTGGCACTACTCACCACGGGCTCCGTTAGCGGCAAAGGAGATGGCTAAAGCTAGGCGAAATGCTAGCAACAGACTCGGGCGCGTTACATACGTGACGGTAAACTCAGATCCAATCGTTTCAATCTGCAAAAGGAGTTACTGTAACCCCTCCCACCTGTAAACGGAGCTCAATGGAGCACCTCCAGACCTTAGTACGAAATGTCATTTGTACTATGGTGTGGTACGACCAGGCTAGTTCTTTCCTAAAATTTGGGAAAATCCTCCAATAAACCATTAATGTTATATAGGGGTTTCATAGTCATGGCTCGCACGCTTATTCAAATTGGCAGAAACTAATAACTGTATCAATTCAAAAGATAGAGTGACATTCATTCTAACCAAGACTAAGACCACACAGAAGGTACAGTAAAAAATAGTGTATTTTAAAGTGTGACAAAACATAGGCCCACCCGCCGTCAGCATGTGAGGAATTTCCCACAGAGCTGCTTTTTGCTCATGTGAAGAGACTGTAATGCACATGGCACAAAGACTGCATGACTGTTTCATGACTGGATTATTGTAAACCCGGTTCAAGGTCCTTCAGCCCTATAGACCCACATTATGAGTTCAGGATCTGAGGCCAGTGTGGCATTCTTTTTTTTTGTAATTCCAGGGTTAGGGAAAATTCAATGTTACGTTTTTGGAGCCAAGGCTAAAGGACGTTTTCAGATGCTGCTCTGGCAATTTTTACCCCCACAAATGCAATCATGTTCGGCATTTATTTTTTAGTTTTACGAGATCAAAGATTACAGTTGTGAGAGAGAGAATAATGTACAGATTGTAAAACAGACTATTGTTTTCAATTTGGTAGAGCTGAAGTTGCCTGAATGATGATAATGATGTTACTGAAGAGAGGTTTTGAGATTTAAAATGATATGTAGCATTTGTACATTATCAGAGCTCGAGATGGCTGGAAGACGGTTTGAACTTATGTTTATGACCCCAGTTTTTGTTGCTTTTGTAGTAGCAA